TCAAGACTTAAATACTGCTGAGGAAGATTCCTCAGTTTGATCTAGAAAAAGGGGGGAAATGTTGGGAAAAAGAGGAATTTACTGCTTGTTTGAATTTACTGCTTGTTTGAATTTACTGCTTGTTTGAATTTACTGCTTGTTTGAATTTACTGCTTGTTTGAATTTACTGCTTGTTTGAATTTACTGCTTGTTTGAATTTACTGCTTGTTTGAATTTACTGCTTGTTTGAATTTACTGCTTGTTTGAATTTACTGCTTGTTTGAATTTACTGCTTGTTTGAATTTACTGCTTGTTTGAATTTACTGCTTGAATTTACTTGTTTGAATTTACCGCTTGTCTGAATTTACTGCTTGAATTTACTTGTTTGAATTTACTGCTTGTTTGAATTTACTGCTTGAATTTACTGCTTATGACTGATTAACCCAATTCAGGAAAAGACACAGGCACCCGGAGATAGGGGAGCTGCAGATAACAGGGAAGGACTGTGCCAGTCACATACCACACATGCCACCCTCCCCGACTGGGACACCTAAAGGGAGTTGCAGCATTATTTTAGAATTACTGGTGGTGGGGTTTTGAAGTTATTGATGATTTGAAACTATTGGTTAAGTGAAAAGCATGGACTTTTGAGCAAGTGGGAGCCTATATAATCCCTGCTTGAAGTTGCTTCAGGGCCGATTGCTCCAACCAGGCCTGTGTGTCTTGGAAGGATGGTCGACCCCAGGTAGCTGGTTTAATAAAACTCTGCTTGATTTTTGCATCTCCATGCTCATGCATTTGTTCCCTTGAAGAGACCCACCGAGTCACAGACCCTAACAGCTTCATTCATATATCAATATGATCAAAATTCACCCATGCACTGTTGTATATATCAGTACATCTTCCCATAATATTACAGTTGTGTTATATAAGAGCCATGACATGGATTAATCAATTGATGGGCATTTGGAGTATGTCTCTTTTTTATTTTATTTATTATTTTTATTTTATGTGTAAAAATGTATAGCTTTCACGGATATACATGCACCGGGTCATACAATGCCTACAGAGGTCAGAAGAGAGGGTCAGATGAGAGTGTCAGTTTCCCCTGGAACTAGAGTTACAAATGGTTGTTAGCTGCCATGTCGGTGCTGGGACTCGAACCCAGGTCCTCTGCAAGAGCAGCCAGGGCTCATTACTGCTGAGCCAGCTCTCCAGTCCTGATGGTGTCTCATTTTTGACCGTACAAATAATGTTGCCATAAACATTCATATAAACAAAAAAAAAAAACATAACAAATGCTGACAAGAATATGAACAAAAGAGAACTCTTCTATCCTGGGGTAGAAATGTAAACTGAAGTAGCTTCTATGTGAATCAGTATGGAGATTTCCCAGAAAAGTAAAATTAAATTTACCATATAAACCAGCTATGCCATCCCTGGTGTGTTTACCCAAAGGACTCAAAATCAACATATCACAAGGATGCTTGCACGTCAATGTTTATTGTAGCACTAAGTGTCTGTTCTAGTTTGCTTTCTGTTGCTGTGATAAAACATTGACCAAAACCAAGCTGGGAAAGGGTTCATTTGACTTACACTTCCTGGCAACAGTTTATCACAGAGGGAACCAAAGCAGGAACTCAAGATAAGAATCTGGAGACAGGATTAGAGGCAAAAAATATGGAGGAATGCTCTTCCCTTGGGCTGGGCCCCCCTTCATCAATTAGCAATTAAGAAAATGCCTCCACAGACATGCCCACAGTCCAATTGGATAGAAATTCCTCAGTTGAGATTCCTTCTTCCCAGATAGGTCAAAGATTGTGTCAAGTTGTCAAAAATTGTTAACAGTGTCCAACAACTGAGGACTGGGTAAAGAAAGTGTTGTATCTGTGTGCTGTACCACAATGCAGGAATTTTAGAATAATGAGGCAATGTCCTCTGCAGGAAAATGGATGCAACTGGAAATAATCATATTAAGTGATCTAAGCCAATCTCAGAACGACAAATATGGTACGTTTCCTCCCATTGGTGGTTCCTGGACTTTTATATAGTTATAAAGTCATGTATGCATATGTAAAAAGAACTTAGAAGTGAAACTTCCCAGGGGAGAGGAGGAGACAAGCAGGAAGGGGAAGGGAAGAGAGAAAGGAGAGTGGAGGGTATGAGGGGACTATGCTCAACATACAATATGCTCCTGCATAAAAATGTTGCACACTTATATTGCATAGATGCATGTATGTACAGAGAGAGAGGAGAATATTTACAATAATTCCTTTGATGAGAAAGGGGTAGGAATGTTTTATAATGAGTGCTTTATAAATAATAGCAATGTCTCATTCTATCATATTGATGTATTTAATATGATAAATAAGAACATGGTCATATATTATGTTATTCTTTTGATTGTGTGTTATATATACATGCATGCATGTTCATGTACGTGCAAGTGTGTATGTGTGTGTAGGCCAGAGGTTGATGTCAGATATCTCACATCTCTATCATTCTAGACCTTATTTTTTGAGACAGGGTCTCTCATGAACATGGAGCTCACCAATTAAGCAAGCTGATCAGAGATTCTTTAGATTCTCTTTTCTGAGTACTAGGAGTATAGTCATGTGCTACCATGCCTGGCTTTTTACACAGGTGCTTAGGAACCCTATCTCAGGTCCTCATGCTTGTGGGGAAGGCACTTTACCAACTGAGCCATCTGACCCTGTCTGTTATCAGTCTTTAAACAAGAATATATGTTATCTTTTATATATATATATATATAAGGTAGATTTATAAGAAAGATCAATAAATAGGGCCACACATTCCCAAAACCGCGTATGTGCCTACTATAGGCTTGCGTAGTGTTCATCTTTTTGCTCTATGGGTCATAAAACAAAAATGTCATTTCTTCTATTTGAAGGTCAGATATGTAAAGATCCATTTTTGTATTTCCTTTTCACTTGTTTATTTGGATTATACTGTATTTCATTCTTGAGGAACAACTGATTAGAAATTATAGAGTCCATGAGAGGGAAGATACCTGCTCCATCTGGGAACTGAAGGTGAAGCCAGCAGTTGAGGGAGGCAGATCCTGGTTCTCCAAATGAAATCACTGATCCTCATCCAAATGAAATCACTGATGCTGCTGGAACTCTGTAAGCCAGGATCTGGGGGCATAGCTGGGAGGTTGAAAAATTACCTGCTGTAATCACAAATCCAAGTTCATTGATTGCCACTGGACAAAGTCGATGACAAAGGAAAATTTGTTGGGGCAAATTGAAATATTCACTTATAAAGCTACCAAACCAAAAAAGTAAAAATAAAAATACCATTGCCAACAAAGTCTAGCTTGACTAGGAATTGCAAGCACAAGGCTTATAGAAGGAACTTTGTAAAGGCGTATCAGATAGGAGGGCGCTAGGATAGTTTCATATTTGGGGTAGGTTGCTTTTGTGACAAGTGAGCTATTGACATCTACAGGTTACAAGATGTTCCGGATTCTGTATGAAAAGTTAGTGATCAGATAATCTTATGACTTATTTTTTTTATTCTTTTGCCTAGGAATAGTTAACTCTGTAGTTGATCCTTGGGATACAAAATGGAATTGTCCCTTGGAGAGCAAAGGAAGACAGTGAAGGGCAGCAGTGCCATGGAGAACGGGAAAGGGCAAAGGGCAATGTATTGGTTCCTTTTCTCATCACTGAGCAAATACCAACAAAAAGGAGGAAGGGAGTATTTTGGCTCACAGTTCAGAGGAATTCAGTTCATCAGGATGAGGAAAACAGGCAGGGAGAGTTGTTTGACCTGGGCTGTTAGTCAAGAAACAGAAAGTGGGATACCGGTGCTCAGCAGTCTTTCTCATTTTCTCCCACTTTGATTTGAGATCCCAGCCTATGAGATGGCACTGCCCACATTCAGGGTGGTCCTTCCCTCCTCAATTAAACCTTCTGAAAATGCTTTCAAAGATATGCTCAAAGGTATATCTTCTAGGGGCTTCCAAACAGTGAAGTTGACAATGGAGATTAAGCATCACAGTACCTACATCCCAGAAAACAAAGGATGATGACTGAAGAAAACTATCACTGGATACAGTAGTGAAATACAACTTTTCACAGAGCACTTTCAACCCATTAGATGGCTTCAGTTGGAGATGTCATCTATGGCACATGATCAATCATTTCTTCCTCAACTGAATAACCTACAAAACCAGTGGTTTTTAAAATAAGCTAAAAGCAAATGGATCAAGAGATTTATTTAGGTTTTTCCCTTGGTTGCACTATCTTTAACTAGCAGGTCTGGGATTCAGTCCCAAGAGACATTGCAGGTGGAAAGTCATTAGCTCTTCCTGATCCTGTATCAGAGAGCAGCTTCCTTAATCCCTGAGACTTCAGTCTGTGCTGTGGTAGCAGAAAAGAAAGGACCTTGTGTCTTCAACTATGCCTCCTTGGCAAGACAGTGAGGTGGAAAATCCAAATTCTTCAGTGACAGTATCCAAAATGGAGTTTGTCCAGCATCTCCAGGTAAGCGCAGAGACACAAGGATGGAAAGTCTACTGAAAGTACATGCACACACATGCGCATATAAGGACCCAGCCACATGCTGCAAGCTGTCTTCCTTTTTCCTCTTCCCTCATCTCTTCCCTTCTTCTTCTCTGCCAATCTCTTTCCAAACTCTGTGTTTGCTGTGGAGAATAGGTCTCTGAACACCTTTCCCCATGTCCCAGCAATGTTGATAAGTAAGACCTGTATAATAACATAACCTGTGAATATGAGAATTTTGAGTTGACTAGCACTTTATCAGTAAACAAATCATTTCATTTTCATTATGAACCTCAGCACCACAGCATCAGTTATAGTACCATGTCTGCTCAGAAGGACAGTATTCATAGAATCACTCTTAGCCACCACTCTAAGTCAACACACCACACACACACACACACACACACACACACACACACACACACACATTTATAAAACCTAGTCACATCCCATTTTTTCATTTACATATTTTTTGAGAATTTTCTACATGACACCTGTATTTATATCAGTTTAACCCCACTCTCTCCTACCTCCAATATCACCCATGTCTTAATTTCACTGAGTAACAGTTTAAATTGTATTTCTTTATCCCCACCGTACAGGTAATGATACTGGGTTTTGAATACTTAAGTTAACTGATGGGTGGACCCAGGGTCTCCAGAGTCCAAAGATGCTTTCCCATTGACAATTCTGAACAGTTCACCCAAAAACAGTGATAGTGATGATGAAGTAAGTCTTCACCTCACCTCTCCAAATTCATAAGACCATCTCCTATCAGGTAACTCTGCTCATTTATTAATAGCAGCAAACATGTATTGAGTTTATTATGTGGTACTCTGAATCTTAATATTTTAGAATAGTTATCTAATTTAATCTTTAAACCATTTCATAAATAAAGATCTATTATTAACCATTTAAACAGACATGGAAACAGAACACCAGAGGGGTAAAGTGACTTCCTCACACACACAAGACAGTAATGAGTGAGGAAATTCCGTCTCATTTCAGGAGCATATGATATTGAAAGTCATCACTCTAAGCAAGTGAGACCTGCTCATGCTTCCACTGATTTTGCATGGAATTTGTTCCTCCATATTAACAAGCAATAATATGAAATTTCTCATTTTGATTGTACATCATGGTTCATAAGGAAATTTTTCTCACAGTTCTGGAGATTGAAGGCTCCATTATGATAGCATTTGCATGGCATCTGCCAAGGACCTTTATCATAACACGACTGAGGTTAGCACATGGCAACACAAAATAAGTATGATGATGGCTTAGGTATTTCTTTCTTGTTTTTGCTGTATTGAGACTTGAACCCAGAGCCTTGTGTGTGATAGGTGAAGGCTCAACCACTGATCTACATCCCCAGCTCCCATAAGGAAATTTTCCAGTTGATTCCAGGCAGCATTTGTTGCCTCAGCACGTCTACCAGGTAGGATTATTATCCGCATCTATACCGAAAAAGCAAAGTTCAAAGGGTCAGACCCTTCCAAGAGAGAAAAAAGACAAGTGAGCAATGAAGCTGTGAAACGTGTCTGACATGAAACCTTGCATTGTGGGTCTCAGACTCATGTTCCATCAAGTCCTTCTGCACTGAGAGTAACATTGAAGGCATGCATTTCATCAGTTGTCGTAATAATAACTTCAAGTAGTCTCTGAGGCAGGTATACACTACCCACGCCAGAAAATGGACAGCCCAAGAGATTAACTCCCAAAAACACTGAGAGAAAAAATACAGATAAAAGATTCCCAGTCATTCTCTAGGCCTGAAAACTCATGGTCTTAAAACTGACACTACTGGTGACAGAATGAAAACGATATGTTCTTCACTAACCAAGTGCTTTTCCTTTTTCATAATTCCCATGTCCATACTAATTCAATGCAAAGCTCTTCAAAAGCCAAAGGGGTAGACCACTCTCAGTACACCCAGAAACCCAGAACTCTCAACAGGAGCCTCTGAAGAAATTATTTCCTCTTAATTCCTTTTTTAACATTAGTATATATGCAAGTTTTATTAAATAATGCATTTTATTATGATATGTTCATATATGTGTGATGTTATTTGCCTTTGTATTTCATACATATACACACAGAGGCTTATCTTACTCACTAGATCCTAAATATGCCGACCTCCAAAATTAGCTTCACAGCAAAGCAATGAGACTGAAGCTATTGTTATAAAGTCTGAATTAAAACTTGGAGTAGTTTATTGAAGCTAAAAGTCATTTTACCTTCAGCCAGGCACCTGTGAGACGACTTGCCATATTGCAGGAATCTAGGAAACAAAATACAACCTCCATCGCAATGCCAGGTTATAGTGAACCAGTCTTAACAGTTTTCATATTTGCACAACTGTCGTTACAGAACCTACTTTATCTCAACAAACTCTTCAAAGAATAACAAAAACAGACCAAAGATCTTAGACTCTGTAATTTAAGCAAGACTCTTTTACTTTTCTGTATCTTACAAGGAAATTAGAAACCAAACCACCATCTCTGGCTTCCTGTTCCTGGGCTTCTCTGAACATCCACAACAAAAGCCTCTCCTGTTCGGGATCTTCCTGAGCATGTACCTGGTCACTCTGCTGGGGAATCTGCTCATCATCCTGGCCATTGGCTCTGACCACCACCTCCACACACCCATGTACTTCTTCCTGGCCAACCTGTCCTTCATTGACACCTGCTTCACCTGCACCATTGTCCCCAAGGTGCTGACCAACATCCACACACAGAATCACACCATCTCACACACAGGGTGCCTTCTGCAGATGTACTTCTTCATGGCATTGGCCCTGCTGGATGACTTTCCTGCTGGCTGTGATGGCCTATGATCGCTATGTGGCCATCTGCCTTCCTCTACACTACGCCACAATCATGGGTCCCCAACGATGCCTGCTGCTGGTAGCCACATCCTGGCTCTGCTCCAACCTCCTGGCCTTTTCCCTCACACTCCAGATGGCGCGAGTCTCCTTCTGTGGGTCCCATTCCATCCCACACTTTTTCTGTGATCTTCTTCCACTCCTCAAGCTCGCCTGCTCAGACACCCATACCTTTCAGCTCATGATATTTGCTGAATCTGCCCTCTCAGGTGTGGTCCCTCTCACCTGCGTTCTGGTTTCTTATGCCCACATCATGCACACCATCCTCAGTATCCCCTCTGCTGGGGGGAAGCACAAAGTCTTCTCAACCTGTGGCTCTCACCTGATAGTGGTTACCCTCTTCTATGGAAGTCTCTTTCTGGTATATTTGCAGCCATCATCCTCCTACTCTGCAGATTTTGGGATGGTAGCATCTGTGGTATACACAATTGTCACCCCTATGCTGAACCCCTTTATCTATAGCCTAAGGAACAAGGATATAAAGCAGGCTTTGTGGAGACTACTTAGCTGGAGAGTTTTGAAAAATACTTTCATACACTAAAATCATGGTTTTTTTTTCAGTATGTCTTCCTCCTAGGCTTATACTTTATGTGTTTGGAAATAAATCACATTCAAGGTAGGATGCTTTACAAGTGAAAGCCACAAAATAAGGACTCTGGTTTTATGGGTCCGAGATAAAAATCAACTAGGTCACAGGGTGATATGTCTAAGTCATCTCCAAGGACAAAAAATGGCAAGATTGTGGGGATACTTGAACTTTGGGTAAGACACTGGGCTTCAGAATCAATTTCAGCCTTAAATTGAAAGAAACATACTTGTATTCACTGGCCTCAACATGGATACTATGGCAACAAAGAGATTGTGTGTTTGACCTGAAATGGCAAGAATAATATAGAAAAGCAACCTCAGTTCAGAAAAAATTAGGTGATCTGGAATAAAACTAAGTCTCTGGCAGGTAAGTTGGTTTCCTTCTTTGTTATTTATGACGACTTTTTCTGCTTAAGAAGTTTCCATTAGCACATAACCAGAAGTAGGTGCCCCATTCATATCACCTCTCAAAATAGCATACCATGAGCAGTTATATCTTTTAATGTTTTGAAGTTTTTCCAATTATGACACAATAAAGTTCTTAATAAATATACCATATGTCTAAACTTCCCAACTCAAAATAAGCTTAGAGATGAAGTTGCTGGATGGACATTTTTCAGACTCATGATCCATGTGGCCAAAATTGTACACAACTGTTAGTGATAGACATTCCAAACAACCATCCTCAGTAATAATTTCTTGCTTGATATCCTTACCATTCAGTTTGGACTCAACGTTGTTGATATAATTGACAAATAAAGGTGAAAATCACTTTTCCATTTGAGTTTCTTTGGTCTATAAATCAACTTCATTTTCTCTTACAATTTTTTCATGTCTTGCCTTTTTATGATGTATATAGCTCCATTTTACACTAAAATTTTAAACCTCTTTCCTTTGTATAAATTTTCCCCAATCAGTTCTTTCTTCTTCAAATTTGTTCTTAACTTTTTTTTACATTTTATTTATTTAGTTTATGTGTAAATATGTGTGTCACAGTGCAGGTATAAAGGTCAGGGGACAGCTTTCAGGAATCAGTTCTTTCCTTCCACCATATAGGTCCCAGATATCAAATTCAGGTCATCGGGGATGGCAACAGGCACCTTTACCCACTGAGCCATCTCACTAGCCTGTTCTTCAATTTTTGACATTAAAAAATCGTGTTGGGGCTGAAGAAATAACTAGCAGTTAATAGCACTTACTGCTCTTCCAGAAGATCCAGGTTCTGTTCCCATCATCCACATGGCAGCTCACAACCATCTGTCATTCCAGTTCCAGGAGATCCAATCCCCTCATATGTACTCCATAGGCATTGCCTGAGACTTTCATAATTTCATTTTCTTAACAACTGAATAAGTCTATTGTGTAAATACACCATACTTTCATGAGTTTATAGACATCTAGGTTGTTTCCATTTCTTGGCTATTGCGAATAGAGCAGCAATGAACATGGATGAATGGGTGTCTCTGTAGTAGGATATAGAGTCTTTTGGGTATATGCCCAAGAATGATATAGCTAGATCACGTGCTAGAGCTATAGCTAGCTTTTTGAGGAATTTCTACTCTAACTTCCATACTGGCTGCACCAGTTTGCAGTGCTACCAGCAATAAATAAGTGTTCTTCAAGCTGATCGAGAATAAAGTAGGGAATACACTGGGACTTATAAGCCTAAGAAAGGACTTTCTGAACAGGACCCTGATTATCACAGGCATTAAGATGAACAATTGACAAATGGAACCTAATGGCACTACAAACTTCTATACAGTAAATGACACCAGCATTCAAGTGAAGAGATGGCCTACAAAATGCCAAAAACTTTTTACTAGCTATACATCTGACAGAGGGTTATTATCTATAATAAAGAACTCAAAAGACTAAACATTAAAAAAAAAAATTAGCCAGGCATGGTGGCACACGCCTTTAATCCCAGCACTTGGGAGACAGAGGCAGGCAGATCTTTATGAGTTCAAGGCCAGCTTGGTCTACAAAGGGAGTTCCAGGACAGCTGGGACTACAGGGAGACCCTTTCTCAAAAACCCCAAAAAAAAAAAAAAACAATTAAAAATCTGGGCAAGGGGGCTGGAAAGATGGCTCAGTGGTTAAGAGAACTGACTGCTCTTGCAGAGGACTTGGGTTCAATTCCCAGCACCCATGTGGTGGCTATGAACTGTCCTTAACTCCGGTTCCAGGGGAATCCAAAGCCCTCTTCTGACCTCCGTGGCATTGCACAACACGGGTGCACTCACATACATGTAGGCGATACACTCATACACGCAAAATAAAAATAATAAAATATTTTTAAAGTGGGGCAAGGAATCAAACATAGAGTTATGAAATAGTGAAACGCAAATGGCTGAGAAATATTTTTTTAATGTTCAACATTTTTAGCCCTCAGGGAAATTCAAATTAAAACTACTTGGAGATTTCTTCTTATTCCAGTAAGAGTTCTTACTGCGTGGCTAATATTTTTATTTTTTGATCTTTTATGTTTCTATTTTTTATTCCTCTTCTTACATTTATCTAACTTTCGCTATGCATTTTTATTATATAATCAGATTTTTTAATTTTTTTTATTTTTTTTATTTTATGTGTATGCATGTATCGTCTGCATGTAAGTAAGTGCACCCGTGTCATGCAATGCCCGCGGAGGTCAAAAGATGAGGCTGTTGGATCCCCTGGTGCTGTAGTTAAGGACAGTTGTTAGCTGCCATGTGGGTGCTGGGATTCGAACCCGGGGCTTCTGCAAGAACAACCAGTGTTCTTAACCACTGAGCCATCTATCCAGCCCCTATATAATCAGATTTTTATCTCATTGTCTTTCATTTTTCTCTTCTTCTTAGCATCTTCTATTTCTCTGTGCTTTCTTTTTTATTAGCTTACGAAGAATTAGGTTTCACTGTGGCATTTTTCAAACAAAATTTGTTTTTGTTTCCCCCACTCCCTCATTCCTTCCTCCTCCCTCATGCTCTCCCACTTTGAAGCTTCCTTATCCCTTTCAAACCACGTGTTTGTGTTTTCTTTTAACTTGTTTCCACTTTCTTCTCCCTATTCCCTGCCCCATTCCTGTATTTCATTCATTAGTAACTTTTACACTAATTTTTTAGAATTTTTATTGAATTTTTGCGATTTCCACACAATATAATTCAATGACATTTCTATCCCCTTTCCCTTCCACTCCTCCCTACATCCCCTCCCCACTTAATTCAATGTACTCTCTCTGGGTAATAAAGCCTATAGAGTCTAACTTGAACCCCCAAACATTCTGCAGTGTGGGCTCATCCACTCGCACTTGCATAGGACTTGTGCATGCTGTCACCATTGCTGTAAGTTCATATGAGTAACTGACCAGCTGTCTGGAGACATGGTCATCCACCACCTCTGGCTCTTACAATCTTTCCACCTCCTCCTCTGCAATGATTTCCAAGTCCTGAGCCCCAGAAATCTGACAGAGGCATCCCACCCAGAGATAGGCGCTCTGCAGCCCCTTTCTCCCCAAACATTAGAAAGCTGTAAGTTTCTCTGTCAATCACCATGCATAAGGAAATTTCTCTAGTGAGAGATGAAAGATGCATATAATCTTCAACAGTGGGTGAGCACCAGACCCAGCACAGTTCATTCCAATCAGCCCTCCTGGGACTGGGAGTCTGTATTATTATGAGGGTACCACAGTTACATCTCACAGGAGGGGGCCATAGCTCCAGATCACAGGTGGGGAACCATAGCTCCAGCTTACAGGAAGGGAACCACAGCTCCAGTTTATAGGAGAGGACCACAGCTTCAGCTCACAGGAGGGGAACCAGAACTCCAGCTCATAGGAGAGGACCAGGACTTCAGCCCACAAGAGAGGACTACAGCTCCAGCTCACAGGAGGGGAGCCACAACTCCATAGCTCCAGCTCACAGGAGCAGACCACATCTCCAGCTCACAGGAGGGGACCACACTTCCAGCTCATTGGAGAGGACCACAGCTCTCGCTGACAGTGGGGACCACATCTCCAGCTCACAGGAGGGGACCACAGCTCCAACTCACAGGAGAGGACCACAGGTCCACCTTATCTTAGGGGCCCACAGCTCCAGCTCACAGGAAGGAACCACAGCTCCAGCTCGCAGGAAAGGACCACAGCTCCTGCTCACAGGAGGGGAACTACAGCTCTAGCTCACTGGAGGGGACCAGAGCTCCAGCTCACTGGAGGGGACCACAGCTCCAACTCACTGAAGGGGACCACAACTCCAGCTCACAGGAGGGGACGACAGCTCCGGCTCGCTGGAGGGGAGCACAGCTCCAGCTAATAGGAGGGGACTATGGCTCCAGCTCGCTGAAGGGGACCGCAGCTCCAGCTCACAGGAGGTGAACAGAGCTGCAGTTCACTTGAAGGGACCACAGCTCCAGCTCACAGAAGAGGACCACGACCTCAGTCCACAGGAGGGGAACCACAGCCCCAGTTCACAGGAGAGAACCACAACTCCAGCTCACAGGCAGGGAGTCACTGCTTCAGCTCCAGCTCGCAGGAGGGAACCACAGCTCCAGCCTATGACTCTAGCTCACAGGAGGGATCACAGGTCCAGCTCCCAGAAAGAAGCACAGCTTCAGCTCACAGGAAGAACCATGGCTCCAGCTCTCAGGATAGGACACTCCTGCTCACAGAAGACCACAGCTGGAGCTCATGGGACTGGACCATGACTTCGGCTCACTGGAGGGGACCACAGTTCTAGTTCTCTTTCTTTCCTTAAGTTTTCAGGCTCTCAAACAGCGTTTCTCCCTGCGTGTACTTAAGTACACTCATGTCCTGCAATGAATGCCCAAGTAGTCAGAAGAGGGTGCATAGCTGCTTCATTTGACTGGCCCCAACACTTGCTCCTCTGGTTAAAATCTTTCAGATATAATCCTCTGGATAGAAGGGAAGGACCCAAGATGGCCCGGTGCTTGGGTTCTGCTCCTGCCCAGATCCCGACTCAT